ATTGAAAACGTTGAGGTGGAGGTTGGGACAATCCATCGACGTTTATACTGACCTTAGCTCTTTAAGTATACTGAAACGACTTTTTTAGAAATGAACGATCACAGGTTTCGTCCAGACCATGTGCGACTGTAGATTTCGTCCACAACCCTGAGTTAAATCTCCCAATGGTCACAAATGTATATGTAGATGACATGATTCGTATTTAAATTGATTTTATCATCCATTTGTCCTTATCTATCACACTACCATTTGTTTTAAGTATATAATATATATATACATATATATATATATATAGCAAATGCAACAAATACATTCACACATCTCCCTACCTTTGGTGAGATTTGAACATTTGACCTCCTAGGAGGGCAAAGACTACGATACCGCTAGACAAAAGCCATTTGGTACGCTACCACTTTTTTTTTATTAACCTGAATATCCGACCCGTTATGCGAGCCGACTAATCCTAGTGCGACCACATGCTTTGCAGATAGCCCGGAGTCATCGCATTTGAACCTCCATGGCCACAAGGAGATTTTTATTTCTCTTTGGATTTGAACCTGGGACCTCCTGGTACTTTTGATCTTTGGAGTCAAACTCAAACCAATCAGACACCACCCTTGTGGTTAATACGAAACCAATTTAACTAGACATAAAAACTCAATACACGTTCTCTTAAATATATATATCTGTTATTTTTAGTGTATCTGTAAAAAATTAATGAAAAATAAATAAATAAATAATATTTGATGAAAAAATAAACAAGAAAAAAACAACTTGACGAAAAAATGTTAAAAAACATATTAACCATGACTTGGGATCACGTAAGATCAGTCTGTTTTCGTGAGATCACTTTTTTACACTTGAAATTTCACAGCAAAACACTATGAATATAACCTTCATAGTGTTTTTGCTGTGAAGATCCAGACTCTTTTTCCACCTTCACAACATTTTCTGTGAAATTTCAAGTGTAAAAAAGTGGTCTCACGAAAACAGACTGACCTCACGTGAACCTAACCCGATTAACCATTATTAATAATTTATATTTAATTATTTGATTAAACTTAGAAAACAAATAATTAATTATATAATTACCAAATTATATAATTAAAATCTTTGATTTTTTATTTCCATTTTTAATTCAAAAATCAAAATTATGAAATATCCTAAAATATCATCCAAAATATTTTCATCTATACTTACTTTTAAGTAATTTTGCATCCTTACCAAAATGCCACTTCATATAAATTGCAAAATGCCCCTTCATCTATTCTATAACATCCATTTTTTACCCTTTTAATAATTTTATTATCTGAAAACGCCGTTTTACATCGCACATGATTACATTTTCACGTAAGTGTCAAAATGTCAAAAGGGGTATCGGTTCTTCATCCATATAATATCACAGTCGGTTCTTCATCCATATAATATCACAGTCGGTTTACTACCGCAAACTTATTCTTTCTCGTTAAACCGATCCTACCATCCATTAAACACCACTGTTTATATTTCATTTGATCTTGAAAATGAAGCAGATAAAGATTGGTCCATCGTTATCGACCTTCATCCATAGTATGATAACGTGTCCAGATAAAAAATGGGATTCCTGAGCTCAATTTAATGAGCTGGGGGTTGTGACAACGCAGAAACTGAGATTTATGAGTTTCTTATAAACCCCAGGTTATGAATTACTAGTCTGCTGCTTCCACTTACGACCATTACATATGTTTTATTGACCATTTGCATCTGAGTTACTTCCTTCTCTAATGTCTAGGGGTGATTGATGATCGAAATGACATTAGCGATATAGTCAAACAAGTGAAAAAAATGTGTTTTTAAGTATATTATATTTATATACGACAAATAGAACAAATAAAAACACTCACCCTTCTTATCTTTGGTGAGATTTGAACCCCTAAACTCATAGAAGGTCAAAAGCTCACATACCGCTAATGGTATTAATGATGCGAGTCGAGCTTGAGTATCAATAAACTCGACTCAAACTTGATAACCATTACTCAAGCTCGAATTCGACTCGAAAACTCGCGAGTAGTTAAAAACCAAACCCGACTCGAACTCGATTGAAATTTTTTAAACGCGAACTCGTTTAAAGCTCAAACCAAGCTCAAACTACTACTCGAATCAAGCTCGAAGTCGAACTCGAATTAAGCTCACCAGTCGAAATTTATGAAATTTTAGGGTGTTCTCTTATAAATTATAAAATTTAAAGGTGTTCTCTTAAATTAAAAAAAAAAAAACTAAAATGATCCACCTCAAACTTTATCATCAAATAGACAAAGTTACTAACTTCATTCACCTCCCTCTCTTTTTATAACACCTCTTCATTCTTCTTTCAATGTGAGTCGAGTGTTGACTGAGTCGATCTCGAGTAGCTCGTAAGTTGTCTCGTGTCGTTTACACCCCTACATACCGCTAGGTCAAAGACCATTTAATAGGAGAATAAATAGCTGAACCATTGACTCAGATGTCTCCATCTTAGTATTGAAAATATCTCGTGTAGATGTACCAGTAAACACATTCTACAGGGTTTGTATCTGCACATCCTAAAAAGTTTTTTCTAACATAAATATTAGATATCTGCAATTATCGTATAACACTGTCAAAAAATCGTTAAGAAGGTGTATACATTAACCGAAAATCATGGATTCGCCATTGAAATAATCATATTACATACTCATTCAGTATATTTAGGGTTTCAGATATTTTTTGTATTAGTAAACCCAACGCCATCCCGTATTTATATTCGCATCAGCTATTTAAATAAATTAAAACAACAAGAATCAATATGATTTAACTCGAACGGTCGATTAAAAAACGTTGTTTAAAATTCGAAGACTTGACAATTCGATTTCTTAACACGGAAATTTTGGAAAACGATTCGACGTTTTTCACCTGCCAGCATAAAGTGCAAAAGTGAAACCTAACTTTATTCTGTATTTATTTTTAAGCTTTTTTTTTTTTGTTTAATTAAATACTTAGATTCTATAATAACAAAACTCTGAAAGCCACTGCATGTATTTTTAGAAGCTATAAATAGTAGGCGAAAGATCATGTGAGAAGGGAATTTATGGTGAGCAGCGTAAGAAGAGATCTGAACCTTTGATCACTTTTAATCTCATGTCCATCCATGAATTCCGCTTTACAGTGGAATTGACCTTGTGCATCTCGGTGCACCTCATTATTGTTGACATTCAATTATGATTGATCCAAGAGTGAAAATTTCTTCTTACACTTCTCACCATAACTTTCCTTCTCACTGGAACCCAATTTGTAGATGGTATATCTCTAAATATAGAAGACTTCTTCAATTTACACAAGAAATTTAGTTTATTTTTTGTAATTGTGGGTTTTCGAGCAAACTTACGTGCACCGATAAATCTCTCAGGCGACCATAAATGGGTTGGAGACATCACTGATGAATCTTCACAGTCATAAAAGATATGACAATATTTGAATTCGAATCCAGAGTAAATGACATCTGATTGGTGTTTTAATTGTGATTGGTTGTAAGAAACATCACATCTACTTTAGTGTTTTATTGATGGATTGCTTATAAAATAATTTATTGACTTATTCCGGTGTAATATCGGTAATAAGCACTTTTGAGTGTTTGGATAAACAACTTATACCGGTTTGAACTGCTGCTCCGGTAATAAGAAGCTTTTGAAAGAGTTAAACCTTTCTGACTTATAATAAGTTGATAAGTGCTTTTGTAGAAAAGCATAAATTGTTTCAAATAAGCAAATTCCAAACACCCCCTAAGTTTAAACCAATTTTTTATTTAATGTAACATTTGCTGATATAAATGTCAATTTTTCATCCACTTTATTGTTAAATTTTTCGTAAACATTTCAGTAAATGGGTTAAAGTCTTTAAATGTTATAAAATCAGTAGATTACAGTTCAAAATAGGTACAATAAAATAAAATTTTGAAACTTTGTTGCACTGACTGATAAATATAAAAAATCCTCGTTTTATTAAAAAAAATTAAAACCAAAATGTATTACATTTTAATGTATTTTATTATAAAATTTTGTTTACGAAAAACATTATATAAATTTAGGGGAAATTGACAAAAATATTCAATCAACAAATAAAATTTCATTTTTTAGCCATTTTTTGACCCAAATTCACTTTTTAATCAATCTTTACGTAGAAGGCTTACGCATATTGCTAATAATTGGTTTTTGGCATATAAAAAAAATCCTTAGAACTACAAAGGTGGTGTCTGATTGGTTTGAGCTTGAGCTCCAAAGGTCAAAGTGCCTAGAGGTTTCAAGTTCAAATCCAAGGAAGAACAAAAATCCCTCTGTGGCCATGGAGGTTCAAATGCGGTGACTCCGAGCTATTTACAAAGCAGGTGGTCGCCTTGAGATTAGTCGGCTCGCATAACGGGTTGAATATCCAAGTTAATAAAAAAAATCCTTAGGTAGAAACCATACACATATGCGTAAGGTTTCTCTGCATGGATTCCATTATAATCTGGAATATAGTGGAATTAGTCGGCTCGCAAAAAAGATTGGATATCTAGGTTAAAAAAAATTCTTGAAAATCAATCGTTCTACATAAAAATTGGTTAAAAAGTGAATTTATGTCGAAAAATGACAAAAAAATAAACCAGCTATCAACTTTGTCTATTTATACCAAAAGGCTTTTGGCCTAGCGATATCGTAGTCTTTGACTTCCTAAGATGTCAGAGGTTCAAACCTCACCAAAAATAAAAAGGATGTGTGAATTTATTTGTTGCATTTGCCGTATATAAATATTATATACTTAAAAAAAAAAAAACTTTTCCTATTTATATAAATTTCCCAAAATTAATGTCAAAAATTGAATAGAGAAAAGTAGGCGCGTGTAATCCACACATTTATTCGTGTTCTTTAAACCGCCAGTGGTATTAAAGTATTCCAATTTCCACGTCATCCTTCCAACCAAAACCGGATAAAACCGCGTCCTCACACATATCAATTCCACGTTTTTCTCTCCCAAATCCACCTCCCAACCGCCGTTAACCGCCGTCAACCACCGTCGGCGAACATCCCTACCTACCAACCACCATCTCTACTTCATCCTATGGGCGCTAATTCATCTATGCTAAGTCCGGAGAGCTCAGACGGCTCCAATCATCCGGCAAAGCTCAAGCTCGGCGACATACCGGAATCCTGCGTTGCTCTCGTCTTATCCTACCTAGATCCGCCGGAGATTTGCAAATTGGCGAGGCTTAATCGCGCATTTAGAGCCGCTTCCTCCGCCGATTTCATCTGGGACGCTAAATTGCCGTCCAATTATCAGTATCTGGTCGACGAGTACCTGATTAAGAACCCTACCAAATTAGGGAAACACGAGATTTACGCCCGATTAGCGCGTCCAATCCCGTTCGACGCCGGCAATAAGGTTCGATTTCGCCGATTTTCTCTTCCTTTGACGAAATTTCAAATCATTACTAGTCAAATCCGTTTGATTTCGGCATAATACCGTCGATTTGTTGGAGTTTGAATTCATTTTGTTGACTCGATGCCCATAAAAAAGTCAAAATTACAACATCGTGAATGAATTAGGGTTTATTGTTGCAGGAATTTTGGGTGGATAAGAGAACCGGAGGTGTATGCTTGTCGATTTCGTCCAAAGCAATGACGATCACCGGAATTGATGATCGGAGATACTGGAATTATATTCCCACCGATGAATCGAGGTATATTCCTTTTTGGCACTAATTATGCTTCAATAACTTGTACCTTATACATTATAAGTTGTACTTTACACCGATCTCGACCACACACATATCGTACTTTGCTTTTGTTTCGATCCGACGATCGACAACATGGTACAAGCTATTAATGCATTCGATATCGCGTAATAAAGTGGAATCATATAAGCGTGTGCGGATGTACGGTTTTTAAATATCAAAAACGATCATTTCGATTTGAAGTTGTAATAATAAGTTTTGCAACACATCCGAACGGCTTTTAGTTTATGTCCGGGTTTGGTTGATTTACGGACTAATTCTCGTATGATTCGAAATTCGATCACCGTAATGTTACGATTCGTAACGGTTATAGGTTTGATTACAAATGTAATGAAGTTTGGTTTAGTTTCTATTTAGTGTAACGAACAACTGTTAACTTAATCGACGTAATAAGGTTTCAAATTTTCTTATTTTGTATCTATTTTGACCGGTAACTTATGATATTGTTACACTTGAGGACGTGGATACCTGTTTATGAAAGGGCTATGGTGAAGTGGGCGATCAATTTTTTTTAATTAACCTGGATATCCAACCCGCTATGCGAGCCGACTAATTCCAGGGCGACTACTTGCTTTGCAGATAGCCCGGAGTCACCGCATTTGAACCTCCATGGCCACAAGGGGATTTTTATTCCTCCTTGGATTTGAACCTGGGACCTCCAGGTACTTTTGACCTTTGGAGCCAAGCTCAAACCAATCAGGCACCACCCTTGTGGTTGTGAGCGATAAATTTGGCGTCTACATCATCAACTGTTACAAAAGATCAACAGGTTATTGGTCAAAATATGCATCAAAATAGGAAATTTTTGAAATTAAGTTGCATTAAATGAAAATTTGAAACTTAGGGGCTTTTTGGTTGGTTTTCCATTAAACCTTGTATGAATAAAGTTGCTTGTGCGGGCTAACTTGTCTGTATAGATTGGATAGGTTGTTGTTTGAACGGGTTTTTCATAGATGGAAGGAGCGTTTTTTTAGATGGGAGGGACAAGTTTTGGAGAAAACTCGGCTTTCTGCCCTAGAAGCTTACTGAATAAGCCACTTTTTATATAAATACTACGAAACAGTCATGTATAGTTGACCGAATAAGTTGCGAGACCATTAAGTTCATTAAGCTGCTAACAAACAGACCCTTGGTTACCAGAAAAGAAGTCTTTGTTACCCTAAATAAGAACCAACACAAAATTCGTTATATTTTAATGCATTTTGCCCTTACATAACCCATGTAAAAATCAAGAAATCTTGGTGCACCAGGATCGTCGTTTGTTCGAAACCCGACCACGATGACCCACGAACATTGATTTTCCTAAATTACCCTTGAAAAACGTTTCAATTTCCGTTGTTACCCTCGTGTTTCTAACTTCTATTTTTGTTACCAGATTCCATACAATTGCATACCTTCAACAAATTTGGTGGCTCCAGGTCGAAGGCGACATCAACTTCCGGTTTCCATCCGGAACGTACTCGTTGTTATTCAAGCTTCGACTCGGGCGGTTCACAAAGCGATCCGCTCGCCGGTTGACGAACCACAATGGCGTCCATGGTTGGGACATAAAACCGGTTCAGTTTCAGCTCACGACACCCGATGGTCAACACGCCGTTTCCAAGTGTTTCTTGGAGAACACGGGGAATTGGGAGTACCACCACGTCGGAGATTTCGTAGTCGATGATCCAAACGAGTCCATAAATATAAAGTTTTCATTGACGCAAATCGATTGCACCCATACGAAAGGCGGTCTCTCCATAGACTCAGTTCTTATATGTCCTAGTAACATCGTTAAAGATTTCAAAGCTCTATTATAACGACAATGGTCGTTTTTTTGGTAACTCTGGGTGTCTGGACCAGTTTGCGTACCTCAGTTAATCCCATTTGGGCCCTGAAAATAACAGTCAGGAAAATCTCAATGGCCCTAAGGATAACAGCCCGAAAAATCCTCAGTGGCCCTGATTAGGTCTTGAACAGGTGTCCGAAGGTCTAGCCTGTATTTTACTAGTTTTTTTTAACACATTTTTGGTTGTTTTAGACCTTAGTGAGAGGATGTAGATCCTAGAGTAAAGTATGTCGTGATGGTGTCGGTTTTCGTGTTCCACGTTCCTCGAGATTCGACTGTTCCGGTATTGAGAAAAGACGATGTTCGTATATTGTAATTAACGTTTCAAGAATCTCGCACGAAATTCTACAATATGAACGAATGTAAATAAATTGTCGAATTACATGAATGTTATGTACATGGTAGATGTCTGTAAATAAATTATCAAAATTCTACGATGACGAACGTAAATAAACATAATTATTATGATTTGAAGTCACGATAATCAATTTTACGTTGTTTCGACAACCCGTCGGATTAGGGGCGTATGATATCATCCCTGACCCCGTTTCGGCCTTCGGGTATGAAAACATATCTTCGTCCAGTTGCCTGTCAAAACTGCGAATCCCCGCCCCTACACGTATGGTAAAATTTCCATCTCTAAGTACACTTGATTTTATACATTTACCTGACTTTTTGAGCTTAAGACGATAATAGATTCAGAAAGTCAGGTGATCAGGACATAAGTAGCAGTATAAAAAAGAAATCTAAAGTTGAATGACTCGTACGAATCGAATGAGGTTTGGGTTAAACGGCTTCACATTATTAAGTTTCTGGGTCATTAAAAAAAATCCTTAGTAAAACACTATTAATTGGCTAGTAACGGAAATAACGCATAATGTGACAAAACCACAGTCGTTTGAAAAGAAATATCAGATTTAAATGTATCATTACAGATCTGGTAGTTTGTTCGTTATCTCTATAAAGAGAGGTCCCATGTTCGACTCTGCTTGGATGGTTTCAGAGCATCTCTAACAGATTCTCTAAAATGAAGATTTTGAGTAATTTTTAGTCCAACAAATTCTCCAAAATGTAGAAAACATGAGAGAGAATGTGACATCCTCTAAGGTCATGCTCGTTTTTTTTCAAAATTACCTCTTAAAACTTCTAAAGTCTGATTTGTTCAAACGTTTGGGTATTAAGAGTGTTTGTTTTATTTCTAAAATAAGAGCTTAAAAACTTTAAATGTCCTATGAAATTTGAAATGGTAAATGCAACCATTTAATGTCTCTTATTCTTAATCTGTTATCTATCAAATGGTTCATATTTTGGAGGTTGGAAGACATTTGTTAACAAAAACTATTTATCTTTCATATTTTTGTAAAAAAAAAACTATTATCTTTTATATTTTTACACTAGTTTGACCGATTCAGATTTCAGACGTAAAAACAATCAATCTTACTGATCCAGACGTCAGACTTCGGGACCACCTCTTATAAATCAGAACTAAAATCAAACTTCAGACTTCAACACCTCTTAAAAAACAACCACCACCTAAATATGAGAACTCCCCGAAAATAATTACCATAAGAAAGAACCTATTTTTTAGGGAAAAGTACAATAAAAACCAATGAACTTTCTTGTTTGGAATGATTAAGTCCTTGAACTTTTTTTTGGAACAAATAAGTCCTTGAACTTTCTAAAACATATTAAATAAGTCATTGGACAATTTTTTGGCACAAATAAGTCATTGGACATTCCAAAATATGTTAAATAAGTCCTTAAACATTCCAAAAAATGTTAAATAAGTCCTTGGACAATTTTTGAAACAAATAAGTCCTTGAACAATCCAAAACATGTTAAATAACTTCTTGAACTTTTATAAAACATGTTGGATACATTCTWATGACTTGTACAACTAGTTAAAATGGTAATTATTTTTTTGTAAATGTAAGTACTTTTTTGTTATATTTGTTTAATTTTATAGATCTAAATACTTTTTGGTTCAAAAAATATTTAGGGGCTTAATCGTTCAAAATATGAATGTTCATTGGGTTTTTTTCCCGATTTTTTTCACTATTTTACCACTTTATTTTTTTCAAAAAGTTATTTAATATGTTTTGGATTGTTCAAGGACTTATTTGTTCCAAAAATTGTCCAAGGACTTATTTAACATTTTTTGAAATGTCCAAGGACTTATTTGTTCCAAAAATTGTCCAAKGACTTATTTAACATATTTTGGAATGTTCAAGGACTTATTTAACATGTTTTGGAAAGTTCAAGGACTTATTTGTTTCAAAAAAAAGTTCAAGGACTTAATCATTCCAAACAATAAAGTTCATTGGTTTTTATTGTACTTTTCCCTATTTTTTACTATAAGAAAAAAATTATTATGGTATAAATATTTTTAACAGTATAATTAATGTTGTATCTTACAAAATAAAGTTATTATCAGATAACATCTCCAACAAATTCTAAAAATTTCTTTAAAATGGAGAATCAAAACTCAAAATCTCCAATAAAATTACAATACGTTAAATATTTTAATTATTTTGCTAAAATATTTTATAATAAAAATTTAAAGATTACAACATTAATTATGACGACATTTTCTATTATATTGTTAAATTTTATGTTCACGACACAATACAATTTTACATCCCATTGCAGTGCACGTATTCCACGGACTAGTTCTTATAAAAACATGCATCCGAATTCCGAACACCGTTGTAATCTAACTTCCGATACACGTATGCATACACGAATCATCCATAAACGAAATTAAATACCAACACCATTTTCGATCATTCCTTGATATTTCTAATCTTAGGATCGAGTCGGAGTGACAGAGACACGCTACGAATAATACTAATAAAACGATAAAAACAGACACAACATACATTATTATTATTATTGTAATTGTTGACTGCAAAATAATAAAATCATACACGAACAACGTATGTGACTGCAATATACGCGTATAATTATTATAACGCCTTCCAAACCTACGTAGTTGCCATCCATCATCTGCTTCAAGGCGTTTTCGACTTCTGTGGTGATGGAAGCAACTGCAAGAACCAACGACTAGTTATATCTGTATTTATGATCAATTCGTTTGCAAAACCAAACGATCAAAATGTATAATCAAACCAAACGAACTCGATATACAAACCAAACATATATAGGGTCATTAAAAATATCATAGACTAGTCAGATATAGGGGCTGTTTGGTAATTTCTGAATGGTTTGATGCAGAATGATTAAGAGGCTCTCATGATATAGTGCAAAATGAAATATAATTGTTTGGTAATTGTGTACAATGAAATTAGGGCTCTTAATGGTTAAGGGAGATCCAAGATACAAAATCATCCAGAGGGTTTTAGAACCACTAAGAGGCAAACTTTTTTTTTTTTGCCAAACAAGATTCATCTCTTAACGATTCAAAGGTTGCCTCTTAATGGAACTATTAAGAGGTAAACAAATAATTCTTGATTTTAACACACCAAAAAGTAGCGGTAATAAGTGTAAAATCTAGGCACTGGACTAGACGAGCAAGAGTGAGGTAGTCTAGTGAAAGAATTGTGGAAGGTTTTCGCGTTTTAATTTGACATAGGTAGTTTAGTAATTTACCAATCTTGTTTAATCTTCCGAATTTTTGTTCCATCTATTTTGGTGGGACAAAGAAAATGCAGTTTTATCCCATTCAGCTTTGTCTCGTCCTATCCCAGTGGGCTTTTCATTTTTATTTTTCCATTACGCTCGGTATAGGTTAAGTTGTTTGCCTAGATAAATTTTTCTGTCCAAGTAACGGGAGACCGATGGGTTTGAGGGAGGCAAATAGAGATGGTTGGATTATTTCTTGGGCATTTCTGACATTAATTCATTTGAAGTGGCTTAATGGGGACAGGTAAGGGATTCTTGCTTATTCCATATAGCCATTTTAGCTTAATGGCTTAATAAGTAAGCCGTAAAGGAACACTTTTGTATGGCTGAGTGAATAAGCCTCCAAGAACATTAAGCTCATTAAGCTAAGTAAACAGCCCCTATATGTCGCATCAAACGTGGGAAATAAGTTTTTGTTGAAAAGCGTGCAAAGACTACCTAAAATGCATGTTTTAGGCAATCAAATGTGTCGTTGCAGACCCCTCTTTGGGCAGAGGACAGGTCTGCATACATAATTTCACATCATGATCTGATGTTCTTGCTGGCTTTACGAACCGAATCAAATTATGTGATTTTCGCAACCATGATTGCGTTAAGCTTTTATCAGCATGACTAGTTTCGAAGGTTAAAAGTCACAATTAGGCCTCTCCTGATAAAATAATTATGGAAGTTAAAAATGTGTTGGTTAATATTGGTTCATCTAGTTTCTAACTTATGGCGGGTTTCTATTTCATTTTCCCCATATATACACACACACACACATATTTTATACTTTTACTCGATGAGTCAATTATCTTAACCAAATTAAATTTTATATACTAAAAACTAAAACGTAAGACACTGAAACATAAGAAAATTCAAATATGATGCTACAAAAACTCCGTATTAAGCCATAGTGTGCGGCATGCCACAGGCTTAATGTGGCGTCAAGTAGTCATTCAGTACGGTTCAGTCAGGTTCTGAACCGATCAACACATAGACTGAAGTACCAACGTTATCATTTTTTAATGACCTAAATAAATATGATAACATTAAAAATTAATGCAACAGGTTATGAACTTACCTGATAACAAGATATGAGAGAGCTAACGAATCCAAACGCTCCTGTAACACGAGGAGTAACCTTTTTCGGAGCGAGTTGGAGCAGACCAGCTGCAACCACGATATCCATGGCTGCTTTGATCAAGGCCAACGACCTCTCGTTTGATGTTTTAACTTTAGCACGGTACAGTTCATTCTGCATTGGGAAGACGTAAATAACCCAGAAATTTTTATCGTAAAACGAAGTACAAACTCGATCAGGAAACAGTTGATCTACACAAACCTTGTATTTATCGGTACCCTTGAGTTCCTTGTCCAACTTCTTTATTGATTTGGAAAGCCTCCCGATCTCTCCTATCTGATTAAATATATCATGCAATCAAAAGATGATAGTTCGGAAGGCCGACCAAAATGAGCCAAAGATGCGAGTTTAGAGGATCGGCCAAGGAAAGCCAACCCATGAGTTAGAAAAAACGATAGTTGACATTGAGTAAATGTTAAAGATGAGGGTCGGCTACATACCTCGACTAAAGTAGTACAGACGGAGGAGCCCATCCAACAGAAAAGAGATATCCTGCCGAGAATTTCTGCACGATCTTTGTTCTAACAAAACCAACAAAATCATAAGTTCAAATCGACTTCTATTTGTTATATACCGTTTTCCGTTTTTTGTAGGGGTGTAAATGATGCGAGTCAAGCTCGAGTTCGATTCTACTCGACTTGAATGCCATTTCTCAAGCTCGAACTAGACTCGAAAACTCGCGAGTAGTTGATAACTAAACTTGACTCGAACTTGATTGCAAATCTTTATACTCACACTCGTTTGAAGATTGAATCAAGTTTGAACTCAAACTCAAATCAAGCTCACCTGTTGAAATTTATGAAACTTTAGGGTCTTTATCTTATAAATTATAAAACTTAAAGGTGTTTTCTTACACTTTATAAGACTCAAGGAATGCACCTCAAATTTCATCATTAAAAAAACAAAGTTACAAACTCCACACACCTCCCTCTCTTTTTATAACACCTCTTCACCTTCTTTTACTATCTTTTTTCCAATGTGAGGAACAACTTCACCAACACTGCTATGGTTTTTGTCCTTTTTAATTATGATTTTAATAAAAAAAATAAATGATTAATTTTTATAGTTAAAAGATGTACAATTTTGTTCAAATATCTAAAAACATACAACATTTTTGTTTTTTATTGGTAAGTTTATTAAAAAACATTTTACATTGTATTTTACAAATTATATTATAAAACTAATTAGATATTAAAAATTGAACATCTCACGAGCTTTTCGAGTCAAGTATTGGATAGCTCAAGTCAAGTCATTAGTATGTCGAGTCAAGCTTGAGTTCATGTCAAGCGTTGACCAAGCTTCGACCATGTCGATCTCGAGTAACTGACGAGTTATCTCGTATTGTTTACCCCTAACTTTGTGGGTTTCTCACAATACCATGTAAACGGGACCCATGAAATAGAAATGTTAAATGGTCAAAAAAGAAAGCCCAACATTGTAAGAATTAATAAAATCAAAGCAGAAATGATATCGTACCTTGTAAATGCCTGATCTATGGAGCCAAACAACTTGGTCGAGGAACAAGAAAGTCGACAATAATGCATTTTTTGACTGAAACAAGACACAGTGATCAGAAATATTGGAAAGAGAAGAAACCCAGGTAAGGGGCTGTTTGGTTGGTTTTCCATCAAGTCTTGTATGTATAAAGTTGGCTGTGTGGATTAATTTGACTGTGTAGATTTGGGGGAACAGGTTTGGAAAAAACTTGAGTTTCAGCATAAAGCTCCCCCTAGAATCTTACTGAATAAGCCACTTTCTATATCATTAAGCCACATCAAAACAGTCATGTATAGCTAACCAAATAAGTTACGAGTCCCATTAAGCTCATTAAACTGTTAACAAAAAGCCCTAAAACTAACATGACTAATGAACGTGTACCTTCCCAAGTAAAACAATCGGAAGGGGAGTTCCAGGAGCAGTCGGGCTGATAAGAGCATGCAAATCATTGATGAACTGCAAATATGATTTACATACAAAACTCAGATTCAGTATTGCTATTCTGAACCGTATGCAAAACAAATTTAATTAGTTTTACATGACTCAGACCTTGAAAAGTCGGAAAACTTTCCTAGCCAAGCTAGTCGATTTGTCAACGTTCTGTGCCGTGCCAGGCTCCCCATTACTCACAAACTTTGACCCGTATTGTATTGCTCTGCATATCTTGTCCCTGGCTTCCGCTTTGTTCAAATACAGAACAGCAAGTGCAAGTTCTGTCCTCGCGACATCTAGAGTACTCATATTTTATTTTGAGTTGCGCCTATAAAGCAAAGGTGCACATATAGAAGAATTTTGTAAGTTATTTGAATTTGTGGACAAAAAGCTTTGTGACGATAATTTATAATAGTAATAATGGAGAAATAGGTCATTCTAGCTTCAAAAATAGGTCATTCTTTAATTTAACGAGCATCCAAAAGCTTTGTGTCGATAATTAAATATTCAATAAAAGCAAGAAAAAGTTATGGAGGATGGGAAAAAGCAATCAATTTCTCATCATGCAATTCATAAGTTCAATGGGGTGGGGATGGAACACGCCTGTTCCACTATGTTCCTGTTTGTTCCACATAAAAGTTAGGCCAAACATGGAATAGTGATTCCTGTTCTGTTCAGTGTATCAAACGCACCCTTACAAACCATTTCCTCCAATGATTTATATCATCTCCTATATTCTCCATTTTATAAGTCCTATGTTCATTTCTTGTCGTACCAATAAGACAGAGCTCCCTATTACATCCCATTTTCTTGTCCCACCATACAAGTGCAACCCATAGAAGAAAATTTTGTGTTGTAATGATGGTTTAAAGTAAAAACCATCCTCTCTGATAGAAAACCAAATCACTGATTCTATTTGTGTTTCCTAGTTATTGATTTAGATCAAATTGTTCATTTTGATGTGTTATAAGATAAGTTTGATTTTCTGAGATTTCTGTTCGGACTGGAAGTGACTTGGTGTCTTGGTGTATGTTGACCTTAATTTGTTAGATGTGGAGTTGTTATCGAATATTGATTGTTTGTGCTTTTGCTGGAGTTTGATTGGCAAGTGAGCTTTGTGTAAAGTTAGAGAGTTATGAACTTCTTAATTTCAAGTAGCGATTAGATATGAGCCAGTTACTTCCTAATTATTTGAATTACACTTGAATATGTAGGAGAATTTGTGGACAAAAAGCTTTGTGTTGATAATTAATAACAATAATAATGGGAAAATAGGTCATCGTAGCTTCAAAAATGGGTCATTCTTTAATTTAACCAGCATCCAAAAAGCAAAAGTAAATGGCTTCTCGGTCCCTAAGCATATACGATAACGGCGAAGGATCGTGTAAGAAGGGAAGTTAGGGTGAGAAGTGTTAGAAGAGATCTGAACCCTTGATCACTTTTAATCTCTTGCCCACCCATGAATTCCGCTTTAGAAGGGTATTGATCTGGTACCTCGTTCACATTCAATTAGGATTGATCCAAGGGTGGGCATCTCTTCGTACCCTTCTCACCATAACTTTCCTTCTCACCGGAACCCAACCCATACGATAACAATCATCGTCCCAACAAACCCACACCACCATAATCAACCTAAGCATATACAATATCAAACAATCCCTCCATTTAATCCGCACACATCGAACAAAATTTTACTCTATAAGCATACATAATACATGAAAATATGACCCTTACACTTTATCACATAATGACTCGTTTGATACTAGTAAATACTTGTTGCTTTCCATGAAACTGCCAAAATTCCATTCGAATATGTCACATAACTTCCTACTTTTTACAAAAAGTTGAAGCTACATGACCTATTTTCCAATCATTACTGTTATAAACCATTCACACATCGCTGTTGGTCAACAACTCAATTCAGGGGTGCATATCTAATCGCAACTTTAATTCAGGAGTGCATAACCCTTTTAACTTCAAAAAAAGCTCAATTAACAATCAAACTCCAAACAAAAGCACAAAAACAATCAATATTCAAGAACAACTCCATTTCTAACAAATTAAGGTCAACATACACTAAATAATTCCAGTTCAAATCAAACCCGCAGCAAATCAAACTTATCTTATATCACATCAAAATCAACAACTCAATCCAAATCAAAAACGGGTAATCACAAACAGAATCAACAAACAAACCAATCAACAATTTCCGATCAAACTTAACACAGAAAAGAACTCATCAACTAATCCGATTTGTACACCAAATTACAAGTTGAAAAAGAGTACTGAAATTTGTTTACCTGTAAGTTTGAGATGGAGATCGAGAGCAGAAATTTTAGGGCTAAAAAATTCCCCAACTTATAGACGACACACAGTGTGTGTGTGTGAGAGAGAGAGAGAGAGAGAGAAAGCAATCGGATTGTGTATTGGCGAGTGTGCCGAGCCGTCTATCATCGAATATCACGAAAAATAAAAATTAAATTTTAAATTGATTTGTTTTTTATTAGGAAAAAAAAAAGATATGATAAGGCCATGTTTGGTTCTCTATTTTTTCCTTTTAAGTAAATATATATATATATATATATATAAAATATAATACCAAATTACGATTTTACCCCTACTTGTTTTATCCCATAAATACTAATTGAAATAATAAATTATTAAAAGTTTTATGCCAAAATCCCTTGAAACAACATTGATTCATTCCTATGAAGCCAAAATTGCCCCTGGTAGTAAGTATGGGAGATGAGACTATGTTTTGAGTGAAAAAAAAGGTAAACATCATGTATATTCATCCACCAATTAAGATGTAACTATTTCATTGGTTAATTTCATGATTTGAAGCTAGTTAAAGATGAAATTAATGAAACCTAATCTGAGTTATATTAGTAATATGTTGTATTTAGATTGATTATAGCCTAACTAAGTTGTTATGATTTTTTATTGATGATTTGGAGCTTTCGAAAATGAAGAACATATGTTGAACTTTGATTTTCTTCATTAATGGTTATTTTGGTGAAATTCTTGACTATTGATCGTGTAAACAATAATATAAACATGGTTAGATGGTATTTTGATTGTTGGAATAGAGATTGAATCCAAAATATGGATTTTAGCCTATTTAGTTGGTGAATTTGACAACACCGAATCTATCTGAGAGGTTGTTTTGAATGTGCGATAACTTCTTAACCGTAGCTTGGATTGCTACGATTATGAACATTTTAGAAAGCTTATATGTAGTTCTAAACCTGTCCTTTAGACACTTTTTAGAAATAAGGCTTCTAGGTTGGGTATAATTGCGTCTAAAATGATAAAAAGTTGATTTTGAGCTGTGAATTATAGGTACTAAAATAAGTTTAAATTAAGTTTGGTTAAGTTATTATTGTCGGATCTTTATGAAACTTTGGATACATATTACAGGTGTTAAATAAGCTCACTTGGTCCTTCCAGAATGACCGAAAAACTGATATCAAAATCTCTAAAAAAGATAAATTATTGAAGTTGAATGTAATATTTAGAGATTTTGACTTTTGATTATCTATTTTAGATGATTTTTATTGGAGATTCTCAAATGAATTAGTTGTTTTATAGAAAAATTAGTAGTTGAAGTTTTTTACTGTAAAACTAGGTAATAGATTTTAATCATGTTTAGCAAAAATAAACTAGTTTTTTTAAGTATATAATACTGATATACGGCAAATAGAACAAACAAACTCACACATCATCTCTCCTTTCATGAGATTTAAACCTTTCATGGTGATTTGTCCCGATCCTGTGAAGAACCCGGTTCACCCGAACGGAGACGAGAATTCCCTGTTAAAACGGGTCCCGAGGCCGGGGATCCTCAGTAGACTCAAATCGGGGACGGGGGATGTTACTCAAACTGGGGTCGAGGCCGAGGCCAGGGATCCCCGCTAGAATCAAACTAAAGAATATTATTTATGGGATTTGACCGGGGTTTTACCGGGGATTGCTAGATATTTGACCAGGGACGGGATGATAATCCCCGTACCCGTCGGGGACCGGGGCCGGGCGATGTTACTACAAACCGGGGCCAGGGTCGGGGATTACAAAACCTGCCCCATCCCCACCCGTTGCCATGCCTAACGTTGACCTCCTAAGAAGTCAATGACTCACATACCGCTAGGTTAAAAGCACATATAAGATGCATTGTAATACCACCGTGGTATCACCGGAGGACAGTGGCCGGAGGCCAGAGGACGAAGGCCTGAGAGAGAAGAGAGGAGATAGGAGAGATGAGAGAAATTACCTAAAATGTCTTTGCATTAAAATTTTAATTAAAAATTACCAAAATTATAAATTTTCTAATTTATCTATTGATTTGTGGTTGAGATTGGATCTCACAGTTACCACAAACTAATTAGTTCTCATTTGATTAGGCCTATATATATATATATATATATATATATATATAAGTTAATACTTCTTTTCAAAATGAAGGTTTAATTAATTAATAACGTTAAATAGTCAGGCTTTTCAAATGTATAATATATATTTAAATAATTGAATATTCTATGAAAAAGGTATGTTAATCAATAATAATAAATAATAAGAGTCATAATTTAAGAAAATGATTAAAAAAACTTTTAACGTTTCAATAAGGTAGCTTATGATAATATAAATTATGCTTAATATAAAATACGATAGTTTATTGTCACGTCATGCACGAAGATTGCCCAAAAAGTAAGAACATTCTAGATCAATCAAAAGAATAACGAAACCTTCACGAATGATCAAAATGGATCGAGCAAGGATAATATGGAAGTAAGCAAGTTTGTTAGCTCTCATTTCTTTAAATGTAAAAGTATGAAAAAAGTAATATCGCAAGTGTTGACAGAAAACGATCTGTCACAGAAGACCAACAGCAGAAGATGCTCAAGCGTACAAGTCTCAAGCGACAGAACCTCTGGCGTGTCTCACAGAGGTTCTGGAAACTGGTCCTCTGCAAAGACAATGCTACAAGACAAAGACGACAGAACCTCTGTCGTGTCTCACAGAGGTTCTGGAAGATATCCTCTACTTTGAAGTGCTTTCAAGTTATATCTAGCAGAGCCTTTGTGATGTTTCACAGAGGGTTTGCAGCCTGTCTTCTGTGTAGATCTTCTTTAGCTGTTTTACTTAGGTTTATTAGCTGCTCGTGCCTACCACGTGTTCTTGTCTGTAATTTGTTTTGATCGAACGGCTTAGATTAATTTACTTTAGGTTATGTCAGAAAAACGGTTACTTGCTTGTATAAATAGCAGCGTAGACCCTTGTATTTCAGTGTGCTTCAGTATTGTAATTGTTAACATTTTCATTCTATTGAAGCTCTCTCTTGTGTTCATCAATCTTCATCACTGTGTTCTTATTGATTTCTACTTTGGTTGATTCTTATCTTTTCCGCTGCATCATCACTGTCAAACAGATCATCCAAGTAAGTAATTAATACCAAGAAACCGAGTTAATCGATCCTACAAAGTTCTAGAAGGATTTATACACCTCTAGTCTTCATGCTATGCAGAGGTTGTTTGGCAGTTGCTGAATGATTTGATGTTGAATGATTAAGTAGTCAGAATGATTAAGAACCTCTAATGATATAGTGTAAAATGAAATATAATTGTTTGGTAATTATTTACAACGAAATTAGGGTGCTAAATAGTCAAATGAGGGTTTTAGAACCATTAAGAGACAACATTTTTTTTGTCAAACAAGATTCATCTTTTAACAATTCAGAAGTTGTCTCTTAATGAAACTATTAAGAGGTAAACAAACAACCCTGTAGTATCTTATTTGTAAAAGATCTACGCGGTTGTGTAAAAGTTGAGAATAGAGGAAAAGTTATCTGAACCCTCTTTAGTATCTGCGTTTGCTCATCTTGTTCAGTATACTTGTAGTTTGACTGACTTAATTCGAGAATTAACGTATAAGTGCTTGTGAAAACAACTCCATAACGTTATCGTTGCCTAACAACCTAAATTCAATTAATGATAATGTATTTTATGTCAGTTAATAATTAAGAAAAATTTTTTTTTTTATACAAAATAACAAAATACTTTAATTTCCATTCGTGTATATATATATATATATATATATATATTTTATTAACCTGGATATCTAACTCACTATGCAAGCCGACTAATCCCAGGGTGATCACCTGCTTTGCAGATAGCTCGGAGTCACCGTATTTGAACCTCCTTGGCCACAAGGGGATTTTTATTCCTTCTTGGATTTGAACCTAAGACCTCCTGGTACTTTTGACCTTTGGAGTCAAGCTCAAACCAATCAGGCACCACCCTTGTGGTTAATTCGTATGTATTTTAATCATTTAAAACAAAATAGCAACGTATTTTAGTCGTCATCGATTTTTAACGGTTTGCAGTATTCTAATTATCTTATTTTATTATAATTTGATGATTAAACTGGTTGTAATGACTGTGTTTTAGTGAAAACCTATGAAAAGGATCTTTCGTAAGCATTTGTCCAACTTTAACACACATGAATCATATGCAACTCGTGTTTTGTTTTAAACGGTTCAGATTCGATATCATCAAAATCCAATAATTGGTGAAATATGTCCAAATCATAATTACCAGTACCATCTTTGTTAATCAGTCTCATCTATTAGAATTTCTAATCCACGGGTGTAATTCATTTAATGGCATATTTGTAAATTTTCAGCAAAAAAACGCGCTCGTTGTAAAAAAAAACATAGGCGAACAGGGGTAAATCAGTACATTATACCAGAAGACGGTTTATAAAAATCAATTTCCCTAATTAATTAGAGAAGTTAATCAACTTCCCTAAAAATAGCAGATTCAACAATATACAGATATTCACTTATGTTAGAGTAACAAATTCACGGATCAACCGTTGGACAGAACAACTGCATAATTCACTTACAAAGATTAAGGGCATTCATTTGTGAACTTAACACAACATCATTGGATTTACAGGGTTCATTCCACAAGATTCATCAGTTTTGCTTTAACTTATGAAAAAAAATGTTTAATTCACAGGTTAACGATATGTTACTTCACCGGTGAACAATAGACAGAGTCGATGAATGAAAAATATAGTTCATTTTAGAGCTGATCATTTGCAGGTATGGGTCGGACCCCAACCGGGCTTAACATATTTTTTTTGTCCAACGGGTCTAATATGGTAAAATCAAGCCTGTTTTTACGGGTTTGAAAACTTACTCATACCTGCCCTATAAACGGGCCCCGCTTGCCCACGGGCTTAAAAATCTTGTTATATTTTTATGAAAACAAACTTATATAAAATTACAAGTTATGTAAAATAATTCAAAATAACGGGTCATCTCGCCCATTAATTTTAACAAGTCAATCCAAGCCCACCAATTTCTTTGAGAATGGTAATCCAAACCCGCTTTTCTAGTGGGCCGGACAGGACGGATCTAACGGGTCATCTCGCCCATGAGCAACTCATAAT